ACACGTGGCCCCGAGAGGCAGGAAGCTGGAGAGAAGGGAGGGAAGACCCTCCCTGGTGAAGGGGAGGAGGCAGCAGCCATTAGCCCATGGGGTAGTTTGCTCCTTATCAGTAGTGCCCGCGCTTTGCTTTGTTTCCGTCCCTGTCGGCCGTGCCCGGAGCCGGAGGCATGGCCCAGGCAAAGGCCATGGCCGGGCTGAAGGAAGAGCTGACCTGTCCCATCTGCCTGGACATCTACAAGGAGCCCACGAGCGCGGACTGCAGCCACAGCTTCTGCAAGGACTGCATCAAGCAGGCGCTGCGGGGCCAGCAGGGCCTTGCCCGGTGCCCGCTCTGCCACTCGCTCGTCGGGGAGCTGCGGGCCAACTTCCACCTCCGCAACATCGTGCAGAGGTTCCTGGACGCTCCCGCGCACCAAGAGGAGGAAAAGCAGGAAGCGCAAGGCCAGGAGAAGGGGGAAAGCTCGGGCCAGGCCGGCGAGGTGGTGCTGTGTGATTCCTGCCTCCAGGAGCCGCAGCCCGCGGTGAAGACGTGCCTGAGCTGCGAAGCCTCGCTGTGCCAGGCGCACCTGAGCAGGCACAACAGCCGGCACGGGCAGAAGAGCCACGTGCTGGTGGAGCCCTGCGATGGGCAGCTTTTGGCTGAGAGGAGATGCCCCCAGCACGGCAAACTGCTGGAGTGCTTCTGTGAGTGTGACTCGGAGTGCATCTGCGTCCTGTGCTCCGTCATCTCGCACAAGAACCACAAGATCATCAGCTTGGAGGAGGCTTTCAGCGAAGCGCAGGTAAGAGGCTGCTGGCGCGGGGGCCCGGGCCGGGATTGCACCAGGAGAACCCCAGAGAGCTCCCATGGCACAGGGGCAGCTCCTGAGTTTGAGAGCTGCAGAGCCAGCATGGGGCTAAACTGCAGTCCTGGGCTTTTATTCTGAGTTTTGTTCCACATTCTCGCTGGCTTTGGCCCCTCAGATATAAAACGAGGTGTTATAAACGCCTTTTTCCCCTCCTGAGGGAGGAGTTTGGCCAGACTGGTGGGCCTTGGTGCTCCTGCAAGGTTTTAGTCCTTGGTGCACCTCCAAGGCAAAGATGAGCCTGAGCTGCACATATGCAAAGATAATTAATGACAGAGTAAGAGAAAGAAAGGTGCCAACAGGGGAAATAGCTTTATATGAGGCTAGTGCACGTGAACAGTTTTCAGCTTCAAACTGTCCTTTTTGTGCTTGTAATTGTGGCATTTGTTCAGGGATAAACCTTCCAGTGAACCTTTATCCACTGATTAGTCCTGAGAGCATGCAGTGAGCAGACCTTTTGCAAGTCCAGCTTAACCCCTGTTGATAAAACTGCTGATCTCGTGCATTATGCCAGTCCTCTCCTCTCCTGATATCTCCTTCCCGTGATATTTGTAGGTATCTTTTCCTGGAATTCTGAAAACACTGAAGAACCATGAAGCTGCCGTGGATAAAGTCATAACAAAATTGCTGAAACAAATGGAGGGACTAAAGGTTTGTTTCAAGGTCCCATATCACCTTGGGGTGGTTGCTTGCTGGTAAATAATGAGATAAAGTTTTCTTTTGTCCTTCCCAGATCATGGATTCTGAAGCTTTTTTCGTTCCTGGGTGGCTTCTCATGTATTTTTGAGATTTCTTCTTTGGGAAAGGGTGATGCAGAACTTTCTTATCAGTGTGGGAGGTCCATTCTTAGTTAAGCTTGAAAGTCTGTGCCTCCAGATTAGTGGCTGGTGTGTGGCTTTTTTATTTTTCCAACCTTCAACGTTTAGTTACTTTTTTCAATCCCAGAAAAAAGACAGATTTTTTTTTTTCTAAGTAAAAGCTAATGTGGAAAATGTCCCTTACAAATTTAAATTGTTTTCTTAAAGATTGATGAGAGCCAGCGGAGGGAACGGCTGGAGAGCCTGTTCAAGGAGATGCATAAAGAGCTAGAGAAGAAAAAAGGGGAGGTTCTGAAAGTTCTCAGTGACTATGAGGAGGAACAACTTTCTAAGATTCAGACAGAGGTGAATGATCACAAGAGGATGAAGGATTTGGCCAGCCAGGATGTTCGGGAGCTGCAGGCTCTGAGGAATCAGAAGGACACACTTCTTTTCACCAAGGTACCTCTCAGCATCCCCCTTCCCAGAGACACACAGCTCCAGGGCTGGCCTGTGCCTGCACTGTGCTGATTCTGCTTTCCAAATGTCTTTACAGGCTTTTTCAGCGATCAGAGACAGGTAAGCTGTTCCTGAGGTTTAATATCTTTATTGCCAATGTGGACAAGGGACAGAGCTCTCGGTGACAGGAGGGGACAGCCGGGGGGGTCGGTCTCTGCTCCAGGGAACAGGGACAGGAGCAGAGGGAACGGCCTCAGGCTGGGCCAGGGCAGCTCAGGGTGGGCACAGCAGGAATTTCCCCAGGGAAAGGGGGCGCAGGGCAGGCTCAGGGTGGGCACAGCAGGAATTTCCCCATGGAAAGGGGGCTCAGGGCAGGCTCAGGGTGGGCACAGCAGGAATTTCCCCATGGAAAGGGGGCTCAGGGCAGGCTCAGGGTGGGCACAGCAGGAATTTCCCCATGGAAAGGGGGCGCAGGGCAGGCTCAGGGTGGGCACAGCAGGAATTTCCCCAGGGAAAGGGGGCGCAGGCACTGGAACTGCCCAGGGAGGGTTGGAGTGCCCATCCCTGGAGTGTCCAAGGAAGGGCTGGAGGTGGCACTCAGAGCTCTGGGCTGGGGACAAGGTGGGGATGGGGCACAGCTTAGAGTTGATGGCCTTGCAGGTCTTTTCCCATGTCTCTGATTCTGTGGTTCTGTGATTCCTTCTGCGTGTTTTAGGAAATGCCAGCCACTTCCTAAAAGGGAAGTTGTGCCAAAGCCACCCATTACTTTAGATAAATCAACCAAAGATGGTATTCTGAGACTTTTCCAGCAATTCATCTCAAACATGGAGATCTCCTTTAAGCACTCAGCACATTGGGGATACGAAGGAACATCTACTGGTAAGAGCTCATTTTACTATATCAAAAGCAAATGGGGAAGTCAATCAAACATCTTTAAGAAAGGACTATAATGAGGCACCAAGTACACTGGGTACCTCTAGAAATGCTAATTCCTTACACCTGTGCTTATTTGCACATGTGTGTGCAGCAAAGGGAGCTGGTCCTGCCATTCAGGGCTTTGGGGCATGCCTTGAATGCACCTTGCTAAACCAGGCTATGGTTGGAGAGGTTGGGAGGTCCCAGGAGTTTTCTGGGAGGATTAAGAGAAGCAATACCTCTGTTGTCTCCCTTTGATTCAAGGGGAAAGTTGAGAACTCATCCCAGCAGGGGCAGGGTCAGACATAAATAACCTCCTCTTCCTGTGTAAATATTTCTACTCCTTTGCAATGCTTTGCAAGCTTAGCCCACAGTCCCAGAGCTGTGCACAGTGGACACCTGTCTGACTGAATTGGTGAAATTAGGGATCCCTAGGTACTGCTCTCTGGGTGTTGCTTCAGCCCTTGCTGGCAGCGGGCCTCGGGTCAGGACAGAGGCAGACTCCAAATGTCCACAATGATCTGGTCATCAATGCGTTTTTTCTCTTTAGGTCCCTTCTCATTTAGTGGTCGTACAACATACTATGGATCCATGTATGGATCTGCCTCTCATTTTCCTTAAACTAGCCTAACAAAACACAAATTCAGTGGCCATCATAATGATAACAATCATAGAAAGGAGGAAGAGAGAGAGAAAACCCGACCAAAACTATCAATGCACAGCATGATTGCTCCCCCATCACCTGCTCTCTGATGTCCAGCCACTGTTCCCAAGCAGCAGTTGGCTCCTTGTGGACATCTGCCCCCAGTTCCTACACTGGGCTTGGTGTTCTGTGGTGTGGAATATGCCCTTGGCCAGTTTGGGTCACCAGCCCCAGCTATGCTCCTTCCCAGCTTTTTGTGCACCTCCTCGCTGGCAGAGCATGAGGCACAGAAAGCTCCTTGGCTCAGGTCTAGCACTGCTCAGCCACAGCCAAACCATCTTTCTGTTACCAACATTATTCCCTACTGTACCAGCTGCTGAGAAGAGAATGAATTCTCAGGAATGGAGTTCTCATAATTAGAATGAATCCCAACCCAAACCAGGACAGGACTCCAATATACACAGTGCCATCCCAGAGCTGCTGGGAGGAGGATACCAGCAATGAGAGCTGCTGGAAGCTTGGAATTGTTTGTGTCTGGTTTGAATGCTGCTTCTGTGTGTTCCTTAGGTCGAAGATATTAATGGTAGAGGAAACACTGTCTTTTCATGATGTGTCTGTCAAGGCTGGACATCCTGCTAAGAACTTCAGGCTTATAGAGACTGGAACCATCCCTTTCAAGTATCCCATCCATGATGCCATCAGAGTGATGAAGCTCCTGTTAGTAATGTGGTTACAAGGTGCTTTGTTTTTTCAGGCCTAGAAATTTTGAGCCTTGCACGGAGGCTATGCCAAGCTGGATTGTGGGCTGCTATGAGGGGGTGTATCACAGCACCCCACCTCTTCCTGCAAGCGCTCCTGTCTTATTTATTCTGTTAATCATAATGGAAATACCGTTAAGTTGGGCATTTTTGCTTGGCTGTTTTAAATACTGTGTTAGGTTCTTGTTAATAAAGTCGTGTTATTGGTGTGTTAAACGTGATGGCAATTTGTTTTATCTAAAAGTTGACAGCACAACATTAACTGCTACAGCACTAGCAGTTCTGATCTTTGATCTAAGGCGGCAGCTTTTGCCTCTGCCGCCTCTTTCCATCCTGCACATCCAGTGCAGAAGCAAAGCTGCCCTGGGAGGTGAGGAGAGACCGTGCAGCGTTCCCTGCTGGAGACTGAGGGGAAACTTCCCGAAGTGGCTGCCACAGCGCAGGGAAGGGTAGAGCCGGCAGAGGGAACATTTCTCTGCCTGGCCTGGGGCGGAGGAAGAGGCTGGAGGGGGCGGGCTGGCAAGACCCTGGGCCGGCTGCCTGCAGCAGGTTTTAGTCTCGGTTCTGTGCTCCTGCTGCAGCCATGGCCCAAGCTCGGCAGGGATGTGGAGGGGCTGGCATCCTGGAGGCCGAGCTCACCTGCCCCATCTGCCTGGAGCTGTACCGGGAGCCGATGGCGCTGAGCTGCGGCCACAACTTCTGCCGGCTGTTCATTGAGGAGGCGCTGTATTCCCAGGCCCTCTGGACTTGCCCCACATGCATGGCCGACCTGGGTGTCACCTTGGAGCTACACAACAACTTCAGGCTGCGCAACTTCGTGGAGGCATTTACGGCCATCACTTCCAAAGCTCGACGAGAAAGCCTCCAGCAGGACAAAGGCGCTGAGAAGGGGAAGACGGACGTGGTTGCCTGTGAGCAGTGCCTGGATGAGCCCCAGCCGGCCGTGAAAACCTGCCTGATTTGCGAGGCGTCCCTGTGCCAGGCCCACCTGAGCAAACACAACGCCAGGGCTTTCCATCTGGAACACATCCTGGTGGAGGTGGGAGCAGGCAAGGAGGAGGAGAGGAGGTGCCGGGATCACGTCAAGCTGCTGGAATGCTACTGCCTCAGGAAGGAGAAGTGCATCTGCGTGCTCTGCTCCATGGCCGGGGCCCACAAGGGCCACGAGGTCATCACCATGAAGGAGGGACACGACAGAGAGCTGGTAGGGAGCTCTTCCCTGCCCATGGCCCCTGCCCTGGCCGCGAGGACGGGGGAAAGCCGCAGGAAGGGTGATGGGCTTCCACAGGGAGTGGGGATGGGTGTGAGGGCAGCCCCCATGAGGGAAATTTCTCTCCGCCCCAAGCAAGGGACTGGTGCATTGCGCTGGAATTTGCTTTTCGTTCCCTCCTGTGTGTAGCCAGAACAGTGCGAACAGCTATGCAGAGGGAGCAGAGCGGGGAAGGGTGCTCGGGGCTGGCCGGGACAGGCGTGGGTCGGTCCCTCAGGGTGTGCGGGTCCCTCAGGGCGGCTCCCCGCAGGAGAGGCTCCGCTACCCCACGGCAGTGAGGTGCAGCCCCGGCACTGCCCGCCGCCCTCACTGCGGCGTTCCTGGCTGGGATTGAGAAGTATTCCTGCAGAGATTAGAAAATCCCTTCCTCCACAGAGCATCGTGAATGCCATGCTATTGAAGTTTGCGTGGGAAAGGGATTTTTCCCTCTCGAGGTCCTTCCCTTGGGCTCTGTCCGTGCTGTAGCACGGTGGGATCAGGTTCTGCTCCCCAATAACCAGTGACGGGATGAGGGGATGCAGTCTCAAACTGTGCCGGGGAGGTTCCAGTTGGACATCAGGAGGAGTTTCTTCACTGAGAGGGTTGTTAAACATTGGAAGGGGCTGCCCTGTGAGGTGGTGGAATCCCATTCCTGGCGGTGTCCAAGGAAAGACTGGACGTGGCACTCAGTGTTCTGGGCTGCGTGACAAAGTGGGGATTGGTCACAGGTTGAACTCGATGAGCTTGGAGGTCTTTTCCAATTTCAGTGATTCTATGATTCCTCCCTCTGCCACAAATTTTATGAAGCCAGTGTCCAGTAGATACAAGAGATGGGGGTCTCCATATTCCTGCCTCTGAGTCCAGCTGCTGTCCTTGAAATGCTCCAGAATCAGCTGAGACTTAGGAGAGTAAATGCATTCCCTGTGCTCTCTCACTGCCTTGCACTTGAAATATCTGGGCTCAGTTTAGAGCCCAAGCAGAAACGCTGCAGGAACCCAGTGCATGGGCAGGAAATGGCTCCCTCTGGACCTTAAAACAGCCTCCTCAGGAATTAGCAGAAGCATCCTTTGTAGCTATGTGAATTGCAAACTAACTTCCTCCCCCAAGTTACATATCCAAGTTTCGGGGCTGCCAAGCAGAAGTGGGATGTGTGAGGCAATGGTCATTTCATCAGCTCCACAAACTGCCTGTCTGGTTTGAAGCTGTTCCTGCTGGGAAGTTCAGTGCTGTCTTTCCTTCTGCCAGGTTAAACTCTCCAGCATCATGACAGACCTGCAGGAATCTAAAAGTGATTTAGTTACTGCCCTAGAAGAGCTTCAGAAAAGGGAGAATCAGATCAAGGTTGGTATCAGAGTTATTAGTAATTCAGAGCATCTTTCCTTCACAATTTCCCAGCAATAAGTGATGGAAACTATACTGTTAAAAGCAGATGAATAGACAGGGAAAAGAGTGGTTTGAGAAAATGCCAGAAGCCAAGCTTCATTGCAGCCCTCCAGCTCCTCCACAGGAGGAACCAGCTGGCAGATTCCACTCTGTATTGTGGTTGCACAGACCAGGTTGCAGGACTGGCAGCTCACTGATTGTACATAAGATTATGTATTTTTAAAGTTTTCTACCTGTTTAATAAAAAAAAAGCAGTTTATATCTACAAGTGGGATTTTCAGTGTGTACCGGTAAGCTCTCACATTGGTATTCAATTCAAAAACTTCATCTGACTTTGTTACTATATCAGGATTAATTTTGAAAAGCCTCTGTTGAATCAGGTATTCCAAGCAAATGGTTATTGTCTGCTTCCTTCTAAAGCCAGCACAAAGGACAGATGGAACCCTAATTGATAAGCAGAGGCACTAAACTGAAGGGTGGAGGTTCTGAGCCAGTGCCCCTTTTTCTTATCTCTTCATTTAGAACAATACCAAAACACTGACTTCTGACCTAAAAAAGCTGTTCAGAAGTATAAAGGCAGAGCTTGATAAGAAACAGACGATGATCCTGAGTGACATTCAGTCTTACGAGGAAGCAGACCTGGCAGTTGTCACCAAGGCAAGGAAGGAAATGGAACAGAAGAGAGACCAGGCTGAGCAGAATCTTCAGGCTTTGCAGATGTTAAAAGAGCAACCAGATATTTTCCTCTTCCTCAGAGTAAGCAGTGGTATTGTGCTTTTCTTCATGCATCTGCCTATTTCTCAGCCAGGTGACCTTTCTGAAAATCACATTAATGATACCTCTTTTTCTTTTTTCTTTTTTTATTTTTTTTACAGTCCTCTTGGTAGGATCTGAAAGTAGTCACAGACAGGTATGTTACACTTCATAACATTTGTTTTCTTATTTTAAAAAATATGTTGTTGATAACTGGGATCAAACCCCACCACCACCACCCTGTGCTGCAAAGCTGCTCCATATTCCAGCTGAGCCAGAGGGCACCACATGCACACAAGTAACAGGGATGGAGAGATCTCTGCCTGCTGTTACACTTGTCCCTTTAAATTTCAGTTTCCTGGCTGGATTCTCATAGAAACCACTGGCTTTATTACCAGAAAACTTTTTATCAGGGATGAAGCCCCTAGGGTTCAGTTTACATTAACACTGTCCTGGATTCATGTTGGTGACTCCCTCAGCTGAGTTCCCAGGGAACAGCCTTTGGCAGCAGAGATAACCAGCTCATTTCCCAGCAAGTTTTTGAGTTGTGGACAAGCTTGGTAGCTAGAAAGATTTATTATTATCTTTATCTACCACTTCCTATGCAATGCCTGGGTGTCAGCTGTAATTCAGTGGTGCAACAGCACACCAACAGTTCCAGATCCACAAGAGGCTTTGCAGCAGCACTGCAGACCCCAGCTGTATGAAAGGCTGGCTCAAACATCTACCTGGAATTTGAGATGTCACCTCGGTAACTTGCACAGAATAAAGCTGAGTTCAAACTCAGCTTGTAAGGAGAGCTTGGAATCACCGTGTACCTCAGGGCTGCAGCTCAGTACATCCCAGCCCGTGGGATCAAGGTAATTTTCCAGAAACCTGGACACCATTTAATTCATTTGGCATTCTTGTTCTGGCACTGCTACAACAGTAAGAGCCTGCCTGCAGCAAGTCAAGGCCCTGTTCACACATGGGGATTATCAGAACACCTCCTCCTCTCTCTTTATCAGCCTTTGAAAGTTCCAGTGCAGGTTGGTTAGAATAAGGCGTTGCCAAGTAAACAACAGTATGTAACAATTGGAATTCAACCTTCCCAAATAAACCCAGCAGTCCATCTCAGATTTAGGGTAACATCTCTTCCTGATTTAAATGCACTCTCCAAGCTGTGCTGTGTGCTCAGCCCTGGCTCTGTTGCACCCAGCAATTGTCAGCACAACAGAAAGTGTGTGGCCAAATTTTGGGAGCTCAAGGTGCAAATATTCCTTCCTGCTCGGAGGCAGCCAGGCACAAAGGGCAGCTGCTCTCAGCACTCAGAGGAGGCAAAAGAATTGAGCCTGTCCTTCAGCACCTTCCTGACCATCCTGGGCTTCTCTCTGGCTGCCAGCTGAAGGAGCTGGGAGCAGCCAGTGCAGGTCAGTGCTGCTGCAGACAGAGTTCCTGCAGTGCTGCAGAGTTCCTGCAGCATCCCTCCCTCAAACCTGGGATTTGTAATCCTGCTGCAGGCTCACCAAGCTTTTGGATGAAAATGAGAATCTAGGAAGGTGGAATTTCTGAGTTAGATGCTAAGTTGAAGGTGCAGTTTAATTCCCCCATGCATTTGCTTGTTTGCAAAGGGACTCAGTGGAATATGTGACTTTTTAAAATGTTCTATGCTTTAGCCTTGAGGAAGCAAAGAGCTGAAAGACTGGGTGAAAGCAGGGTAAGAAAACACACAGAATCCAGCAATTAACTAAGCTTTCTAACACATCAACATTGAAAATTTTATCACCTAATTACTTTTTGACTCTAGGTGACAACATTGGACCATGACACACACTGAAAGTGCAGCAATTCTGCACAGATGTTTGTGCAGAACACTTTTTCTTGATTGCAGTATAATTGTGACATGCACAATGACATGCAATGAGATAAGGACAGAACTTATTTCTTTTTGATAACTTTATGGCTTAAGTATTTTCATTACCTAAGAACTCTGATTCATTGCATCTTTCCTTTTGTATTACGCCCTCTCACCTCCAACTACTCAATTTTTACTTGGCATTTGTCTCATCCTTCATGGAAGCCTTTAAAAGCAGCTCATTTTAGCTCTTCTTTTTTGATTTTTGCCAAGCACTGAATGATGTGACTGAATTAAATTAAATGCATTTCAAGCATTAGGATGGGCCTCTTCCTGTTACTTAGTCTGATGGGTTTTCTAAGTAAGCCAGACCTGCCACACATAGACGTGTGTGTGACATTAATTAGGGCCTTCCAAGCCCAGCAGGTCAGGGTGGGGAGGAAGGTTTGTCCCAGCTCTGACAGAACTCACAGATGGGAACCAGGCAGTTCCATCTTCTCCATCTCCAAACTTAATGCAAGAATGTGCAAATTCAGGCCCGAATCTCAGCGCACTGCAAACTGTAGAGGGAGGGAAGGGCAAGGAGAGTTAATAACTCATTTTTAAGCACTGTCAGCATAACCCAGCCATCCTCCCATGGAGCTGTAGCAGCAGGAGCAGGGCACTGGGCAGGGAGGTGCCAGGAGGACAGGAAGGAAGGAAGGAAGGAAGGAAGGAAGGAAGGAAGGAAGGAAGGAAGGAAGGAAGGAAGGAAGGAAGGAAAGAGGCTCCTTACTCGAGGCTGGGAGCCAGGTGGCACAAAGCAGCTGAGAGCCGGGGAAATCACAGGCTGCCCTTATCTGCTGGGTGATAACACTGAGCTGGGAGCCTGGGAAGAGCCAGGGAGAGCCACTGCCTGTGGGGTTTATGGACAGAGGGCTGATAACACCATCACAGGCAGAGCAATGTGCCAGGTGGCACCAGGGCACGGCGGGGCTGGACAGGAGCTGCGGGCAAAAGGCAAGGAGGGAGGGCTCCCAGGGCAGCCCAGGAGTACCTGCTCTGTGGAACAAAGCAATTTCCAGGATTACTTTGCAGTCTGACCAACTGGTCTGTGGAGATTGGATATTCCAAAGATGATGTGGTGATCTGGAGAAGCAGTGGGTTTGCCAGGCAGGCTGAGTGGGATGGGCAGATGGCACACGCTGGCATTCGTGTGTCAGCAAACCCCAGCTCCTTGGCAGGAGATTCTGGAGCGTGAGGGGCCCAGAGACACATTTCTCCAAGGCCAAAGGTTCCCTCAGCACAGAAATATATTAACCATAAAGCTTAATATACCTCGAGAAAGGAAAGCACTTGGAAGTGAAATTATTTAATTACCTTAAATAATTGCTTGTATTTTTTCCACCCATTTGTAAGAAAATCAGTCTAAAAGTAAGAAGGAAAGAGTCTACTTTTTTTAGGTCCAGAAAAATAATAATGCTTGGGATTTTTTTCTTTTACTATCATGTTCTAAGAAGATATTATTTCCCTGTTTCTTCCATGAAGACATGATGTATTGGATGACCCAAGTTTTCCACAGTCTGTGCTTCTAGAACAAGAATGAAAATGCTGGAACACCCATAGCTTGGGTTTGTGATTTCCTATTAGGATTCTGCAGAGTCCCTGCACAATAGGCTTTGAATGCTTTTGTCATAGATGTCACTCCTGCCAAGGATTCGCTCTGGTTGTCTTGAAGTCACCATACTTCAAACTCAATTAAAACTCCTGTGGAAGTCCCTAAAGGGATTGGGAAGTCAGTCGCTGATGTTTCTGACAATGGGCAGTTAGGGGAGAGGGAGGGAGCTCTTCTATTTCCATTGCAATTGCCTGTTCTGGTAACCATGACATCTAATAAACCCTCATGGAGAAAGGAAATGTTTTCTGTGGAAATATTCAGTATTTCTACAGGAAGATTTACAGCATTTGTTTAACACTGAAAGACAAGAGCACGAATTCTGCAGGCTTGAAGTTGGCCTCCTTTGCTCCAACTGTGTATTGATGGGGTTTTTTGACAGTTTGCATTCAAGGTTCCACCTGGAATGCAAATATTGGGCAATGTTTGACTTCAGATGAAACGTCTGCTTTTCTGTGTGAAGGGAAGGGAAGGCAGACAGGGCTGGGCATGGCCCCTCCGACCTTGAACCCCCAGCCCAGAGACAAGAGCAGAGCACTTAACAGAAACCTGGGATTTTTAATACCCACATTGCCAAGGATCCTTCGTCCTTCCCGGGTTTCAATGAATCCCATTCATTTCAATGAATCCAGGTTTCATTAAACCCCAGTGGTACCCCAGGGCAAAAAGGGCCAGAGAGTGCCACGTTCCCCACCTGCAAAAAGTTTAATCTCACTTCACCTCACATTATCACCCCACATTATCAACGCTATACTTTCAATTTAAAAGGGCTGCGTGCAAAGCAAAGGACCAGGAGCAGCTTTCCCCGTGACTACACACACCCGGAATCCCCTCGGAAGTGCCCCGGGCCGGGGGGTGGAAGGGGCGCGGCTCTGCCCGGCCCTCCCTGCCCGGAGCGGGGCGGTGCTGCCGGGGCCCGCCGCGGGCGGGCGGTCCCTCCGCCTGTCCGTCTGTCCGGCCGTAACTGTCTGTCCGGCCGTCCGTCTGTCTGTAACTCTGTCCGTCCGTCCGCCGGTCGGTCCCAGCCGCCGCAGGTCCCCGGGGAGCCGCGGGCGGTGAGTACTGAGGGAAGGGGCCGGGGCACAGCGGAGTCCGGCTCGGACCCTCCTCACTTTCTGCTCGCAGCCCCAGAAGGAGCGGGAGGAGAGGAAAATGCCCATGGAAGCCATGAGGAAGCTGGGCAGGAGGGAGCGGGACCCGAGGCTGAAAGTGAATGTGGCGTTGAGAGCTGGGCTGTTGCTCTCACTTCTCTTCCGCTCTGCCCGGACCATCAGTGCTGGCGAAGCGCTCAGCAAAACCCGCAGTTTCAGGGGCACACAGCGTGCGGGCTTCTTCTTGCAGGCTTTTATTAATTTTACCAATTTTTGTTAATTAAAACACAACAATTGCATTATGCAGCGCAGTCCGGGTGTGTTCCCATTGGGATCGGACAGCCCCACCCTGTGGATGCAGCCCGGGCTGTGACGGGCAGTGTGGGATGCCCTGGGCTGAGCTGGCAGCTGCTGCCTGAGTAAATCCCTTTGGGCAGCTCTTCCTCAGCCCATCCTCAGTGCCCGGCCCAGCTGCTCAGTGTGCCACCTTCCCCTGCTAACAGAAAGGGTGGGAGAAGAGCCCTAACACAGGAGTAACTTTCTGAAAGCCTTGGCAAACTCTCCCTAGAAATCCGGGTGGGATGGAAGCTGCTGGAGGGATCTGCTTCAGCCAGGGCAGGACAGGGCAGCCAGCACGCTCAGCTGCCCTTGGGAGGTGACACAGCTTCCCTGGAATAGCTGGCTGCCAGCAGGGATTCCATGGGATCTTCCCCAAAAATGCAGGAGGCTGCTGCTGCTAGGGAAAAGTGAGGAGATCCCGTATTTGGAGTGGAAGCAGATCCCATTTTCCACAAAAGTGAGGTTTTATTGTCCGGCTTTGCAGGTTTTCCCACATGGATGGCTGCTGGTTACTGTGCCAAAAGCGAGGCAGCTCTGTTTCCACATGTGTTCCTTAAACGTGGTTTTCATTATTCATGTTATTTTCAGCCCTTTGTGGAAGTAAATGTTTGTGGCTTGAATGTTTTGCTGGCGGATATGAAGGATTCTGTCAAATTCCAAGGTGCAGGCAGTGTTGTTTGAGTGCTTATCTGGGTGTTATCATGGTAATATTGAATTTCCTTGTTGCTGCACAACAGTCAAGACATTATTTGAAAAAGGTTGTTGTCCAACAAGAGAAAGGTCAAAGATTTAGTTGTCAAAAGGATGTGATATACTTTCCTCTTGTATTCTTGAAAACTGACATGGGTGTTGTAGCAACTGACATAATGTTTTGATTCAGTTTCTACTCTGAAATGTTCACATCTGAAGTTTCACCTCGTAGTAGTTATTTCAGCAGGTGAATGAGCTTCACAATCCGGTTTTCTTACTCTCAAGGTGACTCTGATGTGCCACAGATGAATGAAGTCCAAGCCAGCCCTGGGCTACAGGTAGTGCTCCCCCAAAAGCAGAAGCCGGGCAGATGCTGCCGCATCATGGGATCAGAAAGAAGGGCCCAGATGAGCTCCAGAAATAGTCTGGAGGTCTGATGACTTCTACAGACTGCAGGACCTCCCTGTATCTTCATTTTATGGCAGTCAGTTGATGACAGATACTGGAAATTTCCTCAGTTCTGTCTTGTAGTTTGTTTTATCTTGCGCGAAGTTTGTCACAACGAGACACTCCCTGAAAGGCCAAAAGGAGTGATAAAAGTGAATTCTGGGTTGTGTGTAAATAGCAGCTTTCAGAATAAAAACTACAGCAGCTCCTTTTTCAAGTTATATGTACAGAATGTCCTTCAGTGTCCAAACCATAAACCAAAGGTGTTTTCTCAGCATTGGTTTTATTTAATGTGTAAGAATAAAATCCAGTTTTATTAGACAAGCCAGGGCTAACGGTTACACAATTAATACAGGGCAGCACTTTGAGGCAGAAAAGGGTGAAATGAGTGTTGGAAATTGTGATATTTCCTACTGTCCTGACATGGCAAGGGGCAGGGACTGTGTGCTGAAAGGTCCTTTTCATGCCACGGAGAGAAAGCTGTCATGCAAGTCAGCACAAAGAGCCAGTATGTGCTCAGAGCTCTGGAGCCAAAAAGGGTTTTACTTAGAACATTTCCCTACTGTCTGGACAGGACTGAAACCCAGGCACCCCCTCCATGCAGATGTTTTACAGCAGCACAAACTGAGCTGTCTGGGGTTTGTCTTGGCACATTTCAGAAAATTCCCAGGTTTGACTGAGCTGCCTGCAAGTCCTGGAGGAGAGACAGAAGGAATCAAAAGAATTTTCGCTACTGAAATCTTTACTAAAATCTCACAAAACAAACTCATTGCTGCACATAAAAAGTACCCTGGCTTGATTTTTTTTCACTGTCAGCTTTTACAGTGTTGATTTGCTGAGCTTTGGGTGAGTGAGAAGCCTTTTGATTTGTAACTCTGAGCTGGTAAAACAAATAAAACTTCTTGAGCAAATACAGCTCCAAAATGGACTTTTGCAAAGTAGAGCTGACACAGGCTTTTGTAATACTCCCTTGATTCTCACTGGTATTCAGGGGGGTTGTGAGGGCTGTAAATCATCCCTGAGCGCAATTTGCAGTCCTGTACAGGTGGGTGAGATTGGAAACCTGCAGGGTAGGGCTGGGGGTCTCCTTCAGGTGTGATCATCTTGAGCATGTCCCTTCTTGCGGTGCAGGTTCTTCATTTGAAGATCCTGACTCTTCACGTGGCACTCGGTGCTCTGGGCTGGGGACAAGGTGGGCATTGAGCACAGCTGGGGCTGGGAGGGCTTTTCCAACCTCAGTGATCCTGGGATATTACAGCAGGGATGGATACAGCTCCTGTGACACAGAAAATCCATCCCTGCTGGTTTGGGGTCTGTGTTTGAAGCCCTCCTTTTAGTACCAGTTCAGGGACACCCAACAAAGAGTGGCAGTGTTTGGTTATTTGGGAGGGTGCAGGAGCTCACCCACCAAAGAGATGCTCCCAGTCTGGATCTGTGCTGAATGGGAACTCCTGGGAGTCCCAGCATGGAGCAGGAGATGAAGCAGAAACTCCTCTCTGGTGTTTTCTGTGTGTTGGCTTTAGATGTGTCTGCAGCTCCAGGGACAGGGACACCACGGTTGGATTAGTTGGGTGCAATTACTTTCTAATTCATTCTGGAAGTCTCTGAAGAAGCCATTGTAAATACATAATTCTGTATTTGGTTCTGCTCTTGTGGGTTCCTTCTGCTCAGGCTATCCTAAGGCACACAAAGTCACTCCTCTCACTTCTGCCTCCCATACCTTTGGGAAACCCACACTGCAGGGATAGTAGCAGGGAATGTTTTAATTAGGAAATATTTCTGTACCAGTAGGGCTGTCCAGCCCTGGCACAGCTGCCCAGGGAAGTGCTGGAGTGCCCACCCCTGCAGGGATTTAAGGCTTGTAGATGTGGCATTGGGGACATGGGTTAGTGGAGGCCTTGGCTCTGCTGGGAGTGGTTGGACTGGGTGACCTCAGAGGGATTTTCCAACCTGAATGACTCCACAGTTCTGTGGTGCTGCAGTTGCTTGAGAAGTGGTGAATAACTGAACACATTCTGGGGCAGACTCAAATGGCATCCTTAGCACTGCCAGTTCCAGTAGCAATTTATTAATTGGTACAATTAATTCAGGACAATTGGACAATTAATTGGGCGATTAATTCAGCAGTGAGCGTTCCATGGACAGGAGTCTGGCTGATGTTTGCACTGCACGGAGGGGACGTGAGCAGCACATCAAATCCGTGTTGTCATTGGCATATGGGACTGCAGTGCCACAAAGGGAGGCCTGGCAGTGACACTTCTCAGGGTTCTCTGGCTGGGTCTCACCCCAGACCAGTGAGTTTCTGGCTGACATGTCCTCACTGTACTGGTGGTACCCGGTATTGGGGCTTAAGGAGTTTTCTGGAGAATTCTGGATGTTTTCTGCAGGGGAGAGCTGTCTAAGTGCTGGAAGTCATTTGGTATGCTCAAGTTTCATTAGGGTTTGTCTCATCAAGAGTTTGCTCTTTCCCAGTCAGGCAATATGTTCCCAGGATTAAATTATTGATATAATTACTCTGTTTTACTGTCTGTGGGCAGCTTGGTCTAGAGCACCAGTTCCAGAAGACACTTCCACTAGAAGTGTCCCACCTACCTGTCATTGTGCCCAATAATATGTTTTTCGCTTCTGTACATTATTTTGATCAAGTGCAATTTCCTTGTAAAACCAGTTTTGCAAAAGTGTGAAGTGCTTTTTTTTGCAGAAGTGGCTGTAAAAAAGCCACTTCTTAGGTAACAAACCTTTACAGTACTTGGCAGGCGAAATCCCTGCATCAAAAAAAGAAAACAAAAAAAACCAACCAACCCACAAGAGATGTAGACCGAGCTGTGCTTTGCTGGAAATGTCCCACTTGCAGTTAATTTTTAGCAGCTGAGCTGGAGTGGCTGTGGCACTACAGTAAACCCTCTGTCTGGCTTTGCGAGGTGGAACAGGCTGCAGGCAGAGATTTTCTCAAGGAAGCCTCCCAGAAAGGCAGAGCTGCTGCATTCCTGTCCATTTCCCAACCCTGCCAGCAGCAGGTGTATTCCACAGGATATCAGCTTCCCTCCTGGGAAAGGTCATTCCTTGCTTCACAGGGATGCAGTGGGGAGGCTTCCTTAAGAAAATCTCATTTTCTCAATTCCCAAGCAAGCTGAGAGGTTCCCAGTTTGCTTGGAAATTGCTTTCTCTCCACTGAACTGATTGTTTCAGCCCCTGCTTTTCATAAATGCTGTGTTCAGTCTCACATTGTATATTCATTTTTGGTTTAATGGTCCTTCTTTGTGTTTTCAGTGAGTCCTGGTGATGACAGCGATGACAGAGACCAACCATATCCATGAAGTGATGGAAGGGCCAGAAGGAGATGATGCCAAGTGCAGTTTCCATCACACCATGTTCCTGGAACCCCAAGAGAAGAAGAGGAACATGAAGGCTCTGCTGGTTAAGCGAGCAAAAGAAACTTGCAGCTGCACCCCAGCCAAAATTAAAGATTGCGTTTTGGGGTTTTTCCCCATCTTACAGTGGCTCCCTAAATACAACTTCAGGGAGTACCTCCTGGGGGATGTAATGTCTGGTGTGATCGTGGGGGTCCTGCTGGTCCCACAGTCCATTGCCTACTCCCTCTTGGCCGGGCTGGAGCCCATTTACGGCCTTTACACCTCCTTTTTCTCCTGCATCATTTACTGCATCTTCGGCACCTCGCGCCACATCTCCGTCAGCATCTTCGGCGTGGTGTGCCTGATGCTGGGCCAGGTGGTGGACAGGGAGGTGGAGAGGGCTGGCTACCAGCTGGAGCCAGCTGTGCCCAGCGCCCTGCCAGGCCCGGGGGGGCACGGGAACGGCACTGGGAACGGGACAGAGCCGCTCTGTGACAGCGGCTGCTACGCCATGGCCGTGGCTGCCACCGTCACCTTCATCTCGGGGGTGTACCAGGTAAGGGCGCATGGAGCTGGCCCACGCCTCCTGTGGCTTCTTTTTCTTGTTTTTATTTTATTAATGCAGTGATTTCACCTGCCAAATACTGTAAAGGTTTGTTACCTAAGAAGTGGCTTTTTTACAGCCGGTGACACGCTGCAAAAAAAAGCACTGCACACTTTTGCAAAACTGGTTTTACAAGGAAACTGCACCTGATCAAAATAATGTACAGAAGTGGAAAACATATTAATGATAGGTAGGTGGGACACTTCTGCTGGAGCTACTGTTGGCCTTGTGTTAGAGATAGATATGAGACTAGACATCTGGTTTTTTTTGGCAGAATATTACATTTTTTATTATGGACAGTTCATTTTTATATGATATTAGAAGGTACTGTGTTTGAATGCAATTGGTTAGTAGTCTAGTGAAACTCAGTTCATTGGTTGGTAAGGGTTATTGTACATGCCTATCAAACTTCTCTAGTTTTAGATAATTTACATATTTTCTTCTAGTATTTTAATATTCTTCTATATTAATATTCTAATGAGATAGAATTCTTGTTTTTGTAAGTGCATCTTATTTTTTCAAGAATAGATTGTTATGCAAATTGGTTTTCATTCTTAGAGTTTGTTTCTCATTGAAACTCAACAGACTGTTAATTGAGTTAAATAGTAATAAGGCCTGATTTTATAAGGCCTTTCTTTTGTAAAGCTTTACCTGCACCTCCAGCTCTCAGGATCTGCTCACCACCTTCCTCCCTGTTACCTGAAGCTCTGTTTATCTTTTTGGCGTTAGACCCCATTTCATCCAGCCGAAATGTGGTGCATCAGCTCCTAATTCCAGTCTTTAATCATTTGCCTATAACAAAGAAAAATTTGGACAGGAAAAGTATCTCCGTTTTCCTTTTATTTGTAAATATGCTTTTAAAAATTTGCTGTTTACCCATTTGAAGCCAAAACAATGCTATTGCATAGGAAGGATTCTACTGAGAAGATACAATATATTTTATATTTACATATCTATATTTATTTTCTAGAATTCACTGCTTGCCTAAATTAAATCAGGTATCCTTGTTTTTAGAGTCTTATACATTAACCAGAATGGGATTTTTTTAGCAGTACTGCAGAGCTGTGGTATTTGAGTTTGTGAGTTCACATTCATTTGTTCTCATCTGTCCAGGGTGACAGCCAATCAAAATATATAGGAGAGGAACAAAACATGTTTGTGACACTTTAAAACACAGGTTATAGACACAACCTGGAACTTTTTGTGCTGCAAGTTCCTGTTGAATTATTTCAGAAATATTCTGGGCCTCCCAGGCTACACTGGATTTTTGGGTTTCATCTTTCATCCCTGTGGGATGGGTGCAGTTTCTGAATTGCACTTAATAGTCTTTGCAAGTGAAAATACAGTTAAGTTTCTTTATCTGAAGAAATCAGATCAGTTTATATTCTTTAGTTCCTCTGAATATTAGGCATATTCTCTATAGGCCAACAGCCTCCAATTTATTTTTTTCAACCAAAATCATGTATTCTTTATATCAGAAACTTTACAATCAAATCATAAAAAGAAAATCTTCTCACATCAGTTAATACTAACTAGGTAAGCTAATTATTATTGTTTTACACTTAGAACAACCTTGAATTAATTATCAAGGCTGTAAGGGAGCTTTTAAGAGCTGTGAGCTGATTTCAGCCTGTGCAGGTTCCAGACCTGCCTTATCTTCAGTAATTCTTTGAGATTCTTATGGAGTTCCCAGTTATCTCTGTTTTTATGATCTGCAGCAGAGGAGTTTGCAGCTCATAGACTATCTGAGTCAGAGGCACCAAACTTTCTGCAGTGCAAAGGACAGTTGTCACCCCACAAGCTGTGGTTTTATTGCAGGCTCTGAACTCCAGTGCAAGGCAGACAAAGGCCAGCAGGAAAGTTTTAAATTCTTGCAAAGTTCACAGAGTTTATAGGAACTGAAAGAGAAATGGCAAAAGCAGGCAGTATTTCAAATGTGGGGTTTGGATTTTTCCCCTAGGTTTTCTTTTTTCCCCACCAGGGTAATTAGCAGAGCAGACAATAAACATTTGTTCAGGGAATGAAGATCTCCCAAAAAGATTTGAATACAGGGAGATTGGTTTGAATACAGGGAGATTTTTCTCCCTGCTTGGACCATGCCTGGTCCTCCAGGGCCATGCACAATGTTGGGTTTTTTTATCCCAGCTCTCAAAATCTGTGGGATTTGTGTCCTGACATGTTGTGTGTGGTTGGTTCCTTCCAGGTGGCCATGGGCTTCTTCCAGGTGGGCTTTGTCTCCGTGTACCTCTCGGATTCTCTGCTCAGTGGGTTTGTCACAGGGGCCTCCATCACCGTCCTGACCTCACAAGTCAAGTACCTGCTGGGCCTGGACATCCCTCGCAGCGGGGGCGTGGGTTCCCTCATCACCACCTGGATAAACATCTTCAGGAACATCCACGCCACCAACATCTGTGACCTCCTCACCAGCTTCTTGTGCTTCCTGGTGCTCGTCCCAGCCAAGGAGCTTAACGAGCGCTTCAAATCCAAGCTCAAGGCTCCGGTTCCGGTGGAGCTCTTCGTGGTCGTGGCGGCCACTCTGGCATCTCACTTTGGGAAGCTGAAGGAGAATTATGGCTCCAGCATTTCAGGGCACATCCCCACAGGGTTTCTGCCCCCGCGCCCTCCAGTGTGGACCCTGATTCCCAGCGTGGCGCTGGATGCCATCCCCATTGCCATCATTGGCTTTGCCATCACCGTGTCCCTGTCGGAGATGTTTGCCAAGAAGCACGGCTACTCCGTGAGGGCCAACCAGGAGATGTACGCCATTGGCTTCTGCAACATCATCCCCTCCTTCTTCCACTGCTTCACAACCAGCGCTGCTCTCGCCAAGACCCTGGTCAAGGAGTCCACGGGCTGCAGGACGCAGATGTCCGGCATGGTGACCAGCCTGGTGATCCTCCTGGTCCTCCTCGTCATCGCCCCTTTGTTCTACTCCCTGCAGAAATGCGTCCTCGCCGTCATCACCATCGTCAACCTCCGCGGGGCCCTGCGCAAGTTCAGGGACCTGCCCAAGATGTGGCACCTGAGCAGGGTGGACACGGTGATCTGGGCGGTCACCATGGCGGCCACGGCGCTGGTCAGCACCGAGATCGGGCTCCTGGTGGGGGTTTGCTTCTCCATGCTCTGCGTCATCTTCCGCACCCAGCGCCCCGAGGCGCCGCTGCTGGGCTGGGTGGCCGAGTCGGAGACCTACGAGTCCCTGTCTGCCTACAAGAACCTACAGACCAAGCCTGGCGTGGTGGTGTTCCGCTTCGAGGCCCCCATCTACTACATCAACAAGGAGTGCTTCAAATCCACCCTCTACAAGCAAACCGGGGTCAACCCCGCCTGGGTGAAGGCAGCCAGGAAGAAAGCAGAGAAAAGAAAGCTCAAGGAGAAGGAGGAGGGGTCTGGGGACAAGCAGAGCAGCATCCCCATGGATTTGGGGTCGGAGCCGGTGGGGTTTCACACCATCGTGATCGACTGCTGTGCCGTGCAATTCCTGGACACGGCCGGCATCCGCACGCTCAAGGAGGTCTGCAAGGACTACGGGGACATCGACGTCCACGTGCTGCTGGCCCAGTGCAGCCCTTCTGTCAGGAGCTCCCTGCTCCGAGGAGAGTTCTTCCAGGAGGGGGAGGACCAGCTGCTCTTCCACAGCGTGCACCAGGCCGTGGACTTTGCCCTGGGCACGCAGGGGCACGGCGCTCCGAAGAAATAGATTGGAAAGAGAGGGATTGGAGCAAAGGCTGGGCAAACGTGTCTGTGTGTGTGTGCAATCAATGTGTGTGTGCTCAGGGAGCAGGGCAGGGTGGTGCCAGCACTCTGGTGCCCTGCAATCTCTCTGGATTTACCTGCCTGGGGTAGTGATTCCATGGCAGGTGCTGAATGAAGGCAGTTCCTAACTTGACTGTGGCCAATCTGCAGATCTAAAGTTTCCATGGGGTTGTTCATCTCATGTCTCCTCTCTGGAGCTTTCTGTGTGTCAGTTCTACTCTGAAATTGTGATCAAGTCTTTTTTGCCACCCTGTCCTTGTGGGTGGGGTGGGATTTTGGAGTAGCCTGGACGTCCTGTGCAGCCGAAGAATGAGGCAACTCATTTCTCATCCCTCATTCTGGCGTTGCTTTCCATCACCACACCCTTGTGTTTGCCAAGGAAAGGCTGCCAGGGACTGTTTGCTCTGGTCTTCACTGGACAGTGCTTGAATTTGCAACCTCCCTGAGTTTCAGATAGAGAAATCAAATCTAAACATGCAGGAAAATATCTCAATGAATATCTTCTAAGCAAGCACCTCTCGCCTGCAGAGGTTTTGGCACTGCCCCCTAATTCAGCCAGGCCACAAGGACATGGTTATCTCGTTTCTGCCTGTGCCCATGGAAATGCTGCCTCTCCAGCTTGATTTTAGTGATTTCTTTTCCACAGATGACTCTTTAGAACTCTGATTCATTCTTGTGGTCAGTCAATTGTTTTCCTAATATTTAGGAGCTCTTTAGAATTATGAACATTAGATATAGAAAATATCTAACTCTTTAGTATTGACCAAAAAAGTCCCTTCTAGGCAGGGCAGTTTTTTATGCCAGGTAGAGAGAATCACAGGCACCAAAGTGAAAAGGGACAAATAAATTATCCAGCACGTGCCCAAATGTGTCCATGTCACACAGATTGTGCATGAATGCAGGATTTATTGGCTATAAACCCTTTGCTCTGTCCTGGACTTTATGCAATGGGAGTGCACACACCATTGGAAAAGGAGCCAGGAAAATTCTTTCCTGGACCTTTTTTTACCAGGTCAGTATAAATAGAGTTTTTTCCTTTGATTTTAAATTCTGTGGAAGTGAAGAGCGCCTGTTCTTCATGCTAAAATACAAGGATAGGATTTTTTACTGCTTTCCTCTCAGCAGTAGAATACAATTGTGAAGGTAGAACTGAGAGATTAACAGTTTTTCCTGAATAGCAGCTCTACACAGCACACATCCCTGCAAGAGGGTGCTTTCCTCCCAGAGGAGTTTACAGTCTGAATTTCAGGTGCTTCACAGCTTTTAAAAGGGAAAGGTGCTGTGAATAGGCAATATTATCATCCTTAATAAGTAAAGACTAATGAATCAGAAGTCAAAAAAGGTGTAAAATCCAATATGAATTGTGAAATGTTTACTAAATAGAAAGAGATTTTGAGTTTAAACTGTTTTGTTGTTGTTTTTTTGGGTTTTTTTTTTCAGCAAGCACCAGTAACTATTCTTTCTGTGAAAGCTGAATGTCCTGGATCACTTCACTCTGGGAGCCTCAGAGAAGGATGAGGCAGCAGGAAGATGAGTCCTTTTCGTGTTAACTGAATTTGCTGCGTTTTTGAGGGCACAGAGCAGCACAGAAGTGCTGGGGAGGTGAGGGGTGGCTGCAGCACAGCTTGGGAAATGAGAACCTCACTGATCCCCACCCATGGCACCTCCTAGAACAGGCACTGGTGAGGAAAAAGCCTCTGTGTGTCACTGGGAAAAGTCTGCAGTGTTCACACCCCACAGACGTTGTTCTGCCTCTGCCCTCATCTCTTTATGGAGGAGATGAATCCCAAATTCTGCTGAATTTCTCCTTTGCTGCCGTAACCTCCTGCAGGAAGGTTTTTATTCTGGGCTGGGGATGCTTTGTGCAGCTTGGGGAGTTGTGCTCACTGCAGTGGCATTGCCAGGGAGGAGTGGGCTGAGCTGTGAGGGGCAGTGGGCAGGGTTGCATTCTGAGGCTGTATTTCAGTTTTTAACCAAACCTGGTTTGTGTGCAGAGCCCCTGCGAGGGCAGGTTTGTGCCCACAGGGGTGGCAGTGGGGGGAGTCCCTTTGCAGCTCAGTGTGCTCACAAGATCAGAAAGAATCTCTGGAACTTTGAGCAGAAGCCTCGATGCAGCTTTGAAATGCTGATTTTTAACTCCTGTTTTGCCACAGGGCAGAGCAGCACTGAAAGCGCTGATGGAAAAGGACAGCACGTGGTGGCTGCAGATGTTTTATTTGTTATTGCAAACGTTCCTGCCTTCCTGCAGCTGCTTGTCCTCACCCCTCTGCCCTGAGGCTTGGGAGGGAGCTGCTGGCCAGGACAATTCAGGGCAGCCAGGAATGGGACAAAGTCAAATAACATCTGCTCCGGGTGATTCTTCCCTCTTTCCCTCTCTACCTTGTTCTTTCCATGCTGCCCAGGTGGAGATTTTTTCACCTGTGACCCCTCACAGGTTTGTGTAACCAAATTCCAAACCTTTATTTATTAAAAGATGGTTTAGCAGATCCATTCTTACCTGTGCCAGGAAGGGAAGAATAGCAGTGTTACCTCCAAAAAGGACTCACTTCCTGCAACTAGTGGGATGTGCGTTTGTGGCTCCTGGGTATTTATTTACATAAAAGCACAATAAAACAGCCATAAAATAATTTTTCAGGTAATTAAATTAGATTATATCTAAAAGATGTGCTGAATGTTACCTGGAGCACGTTGCATTTGGCCTCAGTGCTGTTTGTGCAGCCTCCAAATTTCATTGCCAGCAAAACACAAGAAACTATTAAAATGCAACAGCAAAAGCAGCCAGGCAACCAAAGGAAATACTTTTAATGTTCTTATTTAAAATTAATAATATCTATTAATGCACTCTGCCCTGGGTAAATGGGAACTGAAATAAATGCCATTTGCCAGAGTTCAGTGCAGTAGGGAGTTCTTGGGAATTAACTGGAGATTAAAGCTGATTATGGCTGGAATTTCTTACAACAGTGGGTTTCAACCCTGTTCCTTTTAGGCCTGGAATTGTTTTTTAGCAGTGACATGGATCTGATTTGATCCTACTGGCAAGCAGCACATTTTTTGTTTATGGAACCTTTAAAGCAATCCAGTTTATCTTTAGGAATTGGGGATCACTGACTGGAAACTTTTCCTCCAAGGCATTTGTTTTATAAAGGAATCCATAGATTTATATGTTTGTGTTTTGCTGCTGTGTGATGGGTGCAGCAGCTCGATATCTCCATTTATGCTTTTGTGATATTCCTGTCCTGTCCTGGAAGGGCTCTCCTGCCTTCTGCTGTTTGAAATGAACAGTGCTGCGCATGTGCCAAGATTTTTAAGGGGAAATCTGCCGCACTCACTGCTTCCTGTGCTTTCCCCCATCCCCTGAATTTGTGAATTTGGCCCCTCAGAACCCCTCAGAACCCCTCAGTTTGGGTTTGGATTATCCATCAGCCTGGAGCAGGGATCTTCCTCCCAGTGCAACCTGCACAACCCCAGGCCAGACTGGAAGCTGGTGTAAATCAGCTCAGCTCTATTCCCCAGTGTCCCAATCAGCAATTATCAGTCTAAATGAAGAATTAAGAGATCATTAGCACGTTCATTAATGACAACAACAGAGCATTATGGAAATGAACTCTCAGTCCCAGCTGTACTGGAAATCTTCTTAGCGCTCTCCTGCTGAATGCCAAGCTCTGCTTTTTCCTCGAAATGTTTCACTTGTCTGAGTGTTCTGACACAAAAACCATTTTCAGTCCACTTCAGAAAACCGGGACGGGCACTGCAGTGGGCACGGGGAGCTCGTTTGGGGTTTCCTGCTGACATTTCCAAGCTGGGATTGAGTGATGCTGCCATCCTGTAAGGCTCTGTAGGACCAGCTCCTCCTGCTGCTGCTTCCTCCTGGCTTGTGCTGCCAGACTCTCAATATTAAACACACGAGGCTGTGTGTGATGAGTTCCATGTGACCTGCTGCTCCCTTTGCATGATCTTTGGATAAAGCCAAAGCTCCTGAGCAGTAAAGTGAGTGTAAAAAACCCCAAACCCCCCAGTCCTCTGGGAGAACCAGAACCTCAGCCTGCCTTGGGGCTGGCAGGGGGTTTGTGGGGCTGTTTGTGCTGCCCAGCTGAACCTGGAGGTGTCTTTATTTTGGGATTTCTGTGATTTGTTCTGCCTTTGTCCACGGTGAGTGTGGCATGAGCAGAAATCAGGAATTTCTGGGTTTGTGGTTATTTATTTCTGTCTCATTGTAATCTCAGTCCACACCTGGCTGTGATGCCTTTGTCCACAGTGTGACACAAGCAGAAATTAGGGATTTCTGGGTTTGTGGTTATTTATTTCTGTCTCATTGGAATCTCAGTCCACACCTGGCTGTGATGCCTTTGTCCACAGTGTGACACAAGCAGAAATTAGAGGTTTGTGGGTTTTTATTTCTGTCTCATTGTAATATCAGCCGCTCCTGGCTGTGATTTGGTGTCGTGCCTTTGTCCACAGTGTGACACAAGCAGAAATCAGTGGTTTGTGGATTGGTGGTTATTTGTTTTTGTGTCACTGTAATCTCAGCCGCTCCTGGCTGTCCCACCAGGCCAGCAGAGCTGCAGCCATGGAAGCTGCTCCCTCCTGGCAGGAATCTCAGCCACCTTTTGTCTCTGCTGCTTTTTTCCAAGGGGTTGGAATCCACTGCAGGTGGGGCTGAGGAGCAGAGGTGAGAACTGCAGGAAAAGCAGCTGAACCCTGGCTTTGAGCCATGCCCAGAGCCTTGGGCTGAGGTTGCTGAGCTCTGCCTGGGCTGTCCCAGCTCCAGCTGAGGTGAAGCTCTTCAGGTCAAAACCTGCTTCAGGGCATTATCTTCTCCTGTGGCTTGGGTTTCTTCCACCTGCTTTGGAAAAGGGATTAACACTTCAGTTATTTGACATTTAAAATTTTTTTTGAAGGATGTGGCTAAGCTGGTGAAGCTGAGATGCAAATATTCCTGTGCTG